AGGCAGGACACTTGCTGGTTTCTTTGGTGGCCAGGACTGACGTGTGGGGTCCGGCCAGAGGATGGTGGCCACTCCTGTCCCTCTCTGCACCTGCTCCACGCAGGACTCCTGGGCATCGAAGGCTTGCCTGTGCTCTTGCTGCCTTACGTTTTCTCCGCCCGTGAGAGAGGGTAGGCACCGTTGACAGGGCCTTGCCACTGCCGCCCTCCAGCTCCTCGGGGCCACGGCACCCGGGTGTTCCCAGGCTGACGGGGACCCAAACCTCACGTGGCACGTGTGTCCAGCACTGAGCCTCAGTACATTGCCCGCCTGCCGGGCCTGCTGGCATCCCTGGAGGGCAGCTGCTCATCTGCAAGGTGCTCTCACGGGGCCTTGAGCTGTTTCGAGGCTGTCAGTCCACCCCACTGTGAGCAGGCTTCACTCCTGCGCCACTTCGACAGCCTCTCACTCGCCTTCAGGTACGAGCCCGTGTGAGGAGCATGGCTCTTTCGGTGTGGTTCCCTGGGGCGTGGAGGGCAGCCACTCGGGCCATGCCCTGTCCGTGAGACCCAGTGGGAGTAAGTGCTGTGCCTGCCCCGGGGTCCGGCTGTCACCATCCTCAGGGTAGAATTAAAACTCACCGCTAGGCTGGCCTAGGACTGCACATGGGACTGGCTTTCTTGGTTCCTTTTGGTTTCTGATGCTAATTAGGGAATAGACTTACTCTGTGTTTGGGAAAAAGCGAGGGCCCAGCCCGTGGACTGGTGGGTTCAGGCAGCTGGCTCCCATATGGCTGACTCCACTGTTCGAGTCCCAGGCCCAGCAGCTTGAAAACACGCCAGGTGCATGTGCAGGTGTGCCCAAGATCCTGAAAAGAGAAATAGAGGAGAAGGGATTGAGGTGTCCCATGCCCTACGGGGAGTACTTCCCTGTCGTCTTTCTCTGTCTCCATCTGGTGAACGCAGGCGCCCTCCGACAGATGAAGGAAAGAAGAGAAAAAAATGCAAGGGAGACAGCAGTGGTCTCTTGGCTCTGCTGAGTGTACGGGTTTTGTTTTCTCTCTGTTCAGCTGTTCTTTACAGGTTTCCTGTGGTGACTTTTATATCAGAAAACAAACACTAAACTCAGCTAGAAAAAGGAACGTGTGCTATCTAGTTAGAGCCGTGCATGTGCATGTGCATGTGCGGTGTGCGTGCGTGCACGTGTTGCCCTCGTTGCACTGGGGACTGGCGCTCCTCCTGTAGGCCAGGGTGAAAGCAGGCCCCAGGCCCCTGCTTCGGTGGTGTTCGTGTCTCCCGGGTGGTGTCCGGATCCTGGGCTGTTGGGCTGGATCAGCCCTGCTCTAGCACTGCCATGGAGACTCAGATACGGTGGGAGAGTGTCTGCCCGGCCTCGCGGCTAGCGCAGGGCTGCCTGACGCACGCCTTCTCTCTGCCCAGTGCGTGGCCCACAACGCGCTGGAGTGTGCGCGCGCCATCTACGCCTACGCCCTCCAGGTGTTCCCCAGCAAGAAGAGCGTGTGGCTGCGAGCGGCCTACTTCGAGAAGAACCACGGCACCAGGTACCTCTGGCCCGCCTGTGCCCACGTGCTGACGAACTCCAGCACGCGTGGCCGCTGACCGACACCTGCACACCCACCCTTCCTCCCCTGGGCCCAGCCTTCTGTGACCGTGGGCACACGGGACTTTGCAGCCGTGTGAGTCTGTGTAGGTTTTCTGCCTTGGGTCACATGTGCTTGCTTGAGAGACAGGGCAGAGGAAAGTGAGAAATCACCCCACAGAGGTGGCCACCCTGCAGTCCCTTCTCCTTCACCCTCCTCTTGGGATTTTTGGCGCGCACACACGCGCCTTGTGTGATTTTCAAGCTGCTGGGTCTGGGACTTGCGCTGTGGTCAGCCATGTGGGATTCACCCTCTTAACTACCACACTACCTGCTGACCCAGTCTTGTTCATTTGTTTGAAGAGAGATTTTTGCTATAGGGCACATGCACTTGCTGGAGAGGCAGAGACAGAGAAAGCGAGAGATCACTCTCCAGGGGATGGCCACTCCATAACCCTTCCTCCTCCATTCTCCTGGGATTTTGGTCATGCACATACAAATGCCACCAGGTCTGGGACTTGAACCACAATTGGCCATGTGGCAGGCTAGTACCACAGCAGCTACACCACTTGCAGGCCCTGCCCCTTTATTTTAAACTTAATTTACTCTAGGGTGTGAAGGAGAGCGAATGAGAAAAGCACCTCCCATGGGAACCAGCAGTTAGCGTGATGGCTATGTCGCTGGATTCCCACGTAGGTGACCACAGTTCGCGTCCTGGACCCAGTGGCTTAGAACTCACGCCGGGCACGTGTGCGTGCATGCCCAAGATCCCGAGAGGAGAATGGAGGAGAAGGGATTGCGGCGTGACCATCCCCCCTGGGGGGCGATTTCTCGCTTCCTGTCTCTATGTCTCTCTGTCTGGTGAGCACACGCGCCCTATAGCAAAAAACCTCTCAAAAAAAAAAAAAAAAAGAAAGCGCCTCCCAGGGGGGTGGCCGTGCTGCAGACCTTTCTCTGTTCTTTTGGGATTTGAGGGACACGTGTACACTCACCCAGCAATTTTTTCAAGCCACTGGGTCCAGGACTCAACTGCACAGTTGGCCATGTGGGCCCAGCTGCCATAACCTCTATACCGCTTGCTGACCACCCGTGGGTGTCTTTACAGTCCCTGTGCTAGGATCACCACCCCACACAGGCGAGAGCTGAGCCGGGGCCACCCTGCCCACCAGCCCTGGGCACGGCTCCAGGCTGGAGTGTGCAGTGTGGTGCTGAGCCAGGCTGGGTGTTTTCCTTTAAGCTGTGCTGGCTTCAAGCTTTGGCTGGGCTTGTGCTCAGAGGAGGTCTTGACAATTTAATTGAAAAAACCTTTGGGTCTGCCTGGTTGGCTGAAATGCTGCTCTGCTGGCGGCGTGATCTGTGTTAGGGGAACCTCCAGTGTCAGGCTCGTGTCCCCTCGTGCACCGCCTGTCCTGTTGCCGTGGTCTTCAGACGTGGCACCAGGTGCCACGGGGATGGGCCCCGCTGGTCCCCTGGGCTGCAGCGGGGGCGGGGGAGCCTCCCCCACCCGGGCCGGTTGTGAATTCTTTGGGGACATTTTGAAATGACGCTTGCCCTGAAAAACTACCCGAGACAGTCCAAGCACAGGGCAAGGAAGTAGCGGCCTCCTTTGCAGCTCCCGCCAGGCGTGCGGCCTCGGGGCCGTCTCTCCCGCCATCCTGCTTTCTCCTAGAGCTGCCTCCCAGGGTGACGAGGTGCGGTGCTGGGCTCTGGGAGGCCTCATCCCACAGTGGTCTTGCTGACCATGTGACCGAGGGGGTGTGGCTGCCCACGAGGCCGGGACACACCTGCACACCCACCTGCTCCAGAGTGACCCCAAGTCACTTGCTTTTAATAAGACCATTTTGGGGGTGTCAGAAGAATGTGTGGGACCGTAATCTCTGTGGGGGCCCAGGGCGTGTCCTGTGATCCCAGATGAAAGGGCTCCCCGTCAGCAGCCCGCGCACTGGCCTTTGCCGCGGGACAGCGGCTGTGGAGGGCGAGGGGCTCTGTGCAGCCGTCTGGCCGGCCTCCCTCAGACAATGCGCTGCTTTGTGGAGGCCTCCGCAGTGCTTGGTGCTGGAGTCCTCGTGGAGAGAGATCCCCCACACTCTCCCCATCATAAAACATGGTCAATCATTGACAGGCTCGAACTTTGGAGCAGGAACGCTCCCGTGCCCAGGTGTGCCGCACTGCCGTGTGCCCTGGTGTGGCCTTGGCCGTGGGGGCCGTGGGAGCCGTGGGGGCCGTGGGGACGCTGACCTCTTGTCTTGCAGGGAGTCCCTGGAGGCGCTCCTGCAGAGGGCCGTGGCGCACTGCCCCAAGGCAGAGGTGCTGTGGCTCATGGGTGCCAAGTCCAAGTGGCTGGCAGGGGACGTGCCCGCAGCAAGGAGCATCTTGGCACTGGCCTTCCAGGTGGGTGGGGCTGCCCATCCTGTGAGGGGCTGGTACACGCGCCGTACCCCGGGCCCCGCCCCTTCCCGTCCCACCTGCACCAGGCCCGCGAGGGGCCTAGCAGGGAGAGCTTAGCTGGGGCACCTGCCCTGCACTCGGGCACAGGGGACAGATGGCCCAGGGCTGCCTGGTCCTAGTGGGGCCCTTCCGTGAGCAGAGCCACGTTCCAATAGCTGCCCCTAGCCAGGCCTGCGGGTGCCGGTGGGCAGGGGCGGGCAGGGGCGGACAGGGGCGTGAGGACCTGTGCTCACTCACACAGCACACAGCACCCAGCACTTGGGACGGGTGTGGCTTTTGGTCGAGAGCTGCCCCAGCGGCTGGCCCCCC